TATATATATATATACAAAACCCTAAAATAAAAAATTTATTATTATTTATTATAACTTCTATTTACATTATTAATATTATTATTATTTATTTGTTTAGGGTTTAGGGTTTAGGGTTTAGGGTTTGCATATTTTCAAGCATAGGCCGAGAGGCTGAGTAAACAGCGGGAGAGAAAGGGTTTAGGGTTTAGGGTCTAGGGTTTAGGGTTTAGGGTTTAGGATTGGCTCTTGGGAGAAAAACACTTTCTTATGGCGCTATACAAATTCGAGTTGCTGCTGTTGCTGCTGCAGCAGTCGCTGCTGCAGCAGTTGCTGCTGCAGCAGTTGCTGCTGCAGCAGTTGCTGTTGCATTTGCTGCTGCTGCTGCTGCTGCTGCTGGTACTGCTCTAGCTGCCGCGGCAGCAGCAGCTGCTGCAGCAGTTGTTTTTGCTGCCGCTGCTTCTGTAGCTGTTGCTGCAATTCTTGCTGCTGCTACTGCTGCTGCTGCTGCTCTTGCTGCTGCTGCAGCTTCTGTTCCTGCTGCTGCTGCTGCTGCTGCTGCTGCTGCATCTGGCTAAGCATTGCTGCACTGCGAGCTTCGATAGCAGCAGCAGAAGGAATGTAATAGTTGAGCCGTTGCTGCCCTCCGTATGCTGCTTGCTGCTGCTGCTGCTGCTGCTGTTGCTGCTGCTGCTGCTGCTGCTGCTGCTGCAGGTAGTCAATCAGCTGCCGCTGCACGTCGTGCAGCAGCAGAGGATGAAGTATATCATACATAGACTCATGCTCCTGCTGCTGCTCCTGCTGCTGCTGCTGCTGCTGCTGCTGCTGCAGCTGCTGCAGCCGCTGCTGCAGCTGCAGCTGTGCTGCGTGCCGCTGCTCAGCGAACGATGCACCCAGGGGAATTGCTGTTGCCGCTGCTGCTGCTGCTGCTGCTGGATCTGCTGCTGCTTCTGCTGCTGCTGGATCTGCTGCTGCTGCTGCTGCTGCTGCTGCTGCTGGATCTGCTGCTGCTGCTGCTGCTGCTGCTGCTGCATTTTCAGGTAGCGGTTCCATCCGCAGATTTAAAGACTGACAGCAAACAGAAAATAAATAAATAAATATAAATAAATATAAATGAATAAATAAATATAAATAAATATAAATAGATAAATAAATATAAATAAATGAATAAATATAAATAAATAAATGAATAAATAGATAAATAAACATTTATTTGTCTGTTTGTTTGTTTATTTTCTGTTTATTTAATTAATAAATTAATTAACGCATAAATACATTAAAAAAAAGGAGACAGAAGAAGAAAGACAAAAGGAGACAGAAAAAGAAAAACAAAAAACAAAAAGGAGACAGAAACAAA